CAAAAGAAGCAAAGTTTCCTTACTTTAGCAAAGGAAAACTAGTCTACTCTTGGCTAATGGCTTATACCTCTGACATTCTTCTTTACAAATCCTCGGTTTGTACTTCTAATTCCTGACCATTGTTTTGTTTTGATCTCTCCACTGCGTTTCCGCGTGCGTCACTTCTGAGCGGCACATTCGCAACGCCGACCTCATACGTCATGCTCCCGGAACTGCTTCTGTTTACAACAGTGAGCGCAAGCTAGATTCAAGTGATTATTAAGTTTTGAATATGAATATTTTTCTTACAAAAACGCATCGATTTTCTACAGAAGGCCTTTGTTTACCCCCCGGAGCCGTGTGAGACATTTTTTTTTATGGATGGGCGAATTTTATTTAAGTTCTTCTGGACTGAAGCAATGCAACACCTGCTGAGTGGCATTCAACAGCTTGAAAGATCAAAGACAATTTTTAATATAACTCCGACTGGATTCGTCTGAAAGAAGAAAGTCATATACACCTAGAATGCATCGGGGGTGAGTTTAAACGCAGCCTAATTTTAATTTTTGGGTGAACTAACCCTTTAAGTCACTTCAGTGTTGATTCAGATTTGGCTCAATAAATGTGTGAAGTTGATCAATTATTAAACAAGTTTAGGTGTAAGCAGCTCTACAAAGATAAGTGTCGTTATTCAGCTTGCGTCAGTTCAATGTTGATTAAATTCAGTTCAGTAACACTGTTGATGTTACAAAATTTGTCACGTAGAAACAAATTAGATTCCGCTAGAAAGAAGCAGCTCTACAGAAGACAGTAGTGTCATTATTCAGCTCAATTCAGTTTTAAGTTTTGTTTTGTTCTCATCTAATAGTGCACGTGAAAGAGACTGCGGTCTGTGATGTATTAGTGTGTTAATGTGTGGTGGTGTTGTTGCTTTCCAGGCCTACCCAGAGTATCTCATCACTTATCAGATAGAAAAGCCGGACAGCACGCCTCAGTCCTCCACAGGAGCAGAGCAGAAATCATAGTCAGACACTGCGTTTCTACACTCACTCACTCATCACTCGCTCGCTCACTCACTCATTCTTTCTCACTCTCGTTGCACAATGGAAATGTGAACTTTCCCATGTACCCACGTCTTGGAATTCCCATGTATGAATTATGGATTTGCACTTTTAAAAACAAGTTACTTAAGTTATTTGAAAATAGTTGCAATTGTGAAGTCTAATGTACAGGTAGTATAAAGAAAACATGTAAAACTGACTGTGTTTAACGATGCTATTTGAGTTGTATTTTAATGGAACTTTTTTTTTTTTTTGAGTCTGTTAATTTCTTTTAAATAAATCTCATCAGAACAAGACTCGTTCGTATAACTTGCTTTTGATTGTTTTTACATATGAAATGTTATTGCATTTATTATCTCTGCATTTTAAGGTGGAATTGCAAAGGGGAGTTAAAATATGATAACTTAGCCGTTTTTGAAATTAAACCGACAAGCTTTACTTGTTCACAAGCTTCACACTCGCTCGCACGTTCTCTCTCTCTCTGGTTATTTCACTCAAATTAGTTTAAATAAATATCATGGCGCTACTTTATTCACTAAAGAATTCTACCTCTAACAAGCTGTAGACAAAATAGGCTAACAAATGAAAATTACCATTATTTTCCGGTCTTTATCCGTTCAGTCAGATTTTGTGCTGCAAAACATCCATGACAGCTCTTGTCCATGATGGGAAATAATAATGGCCACTGGAAGTGAATTATATAAATAATTTTAATAGCACGGCCATTTAAAACCTGAGGGTCTACCATGTGCATAGTAAAGCGATCACTGACAATCATTTTGGACGGGAAATCGGATGCCAGTGAATGTAAACAGGCGGGCCAAAAAATCAGATATGGTAAAAAGATTGGATCTGTGCATTAAGACTTGCAGTGTAAACGCAGCCATTATGAGCAAAAAATCGGAATTAGGTCACAGTGTAAACGGGGCCTAAGACTCGGGAACCTGTAGGGGGAAAGTTGCAGTCCACCAAACTGACCCACAGGCACGAGAAAATAAAATGAAGGCGCTGACTTAACTAGAAAGCCTGGTAGGCTAGATAGAAGTCCTGAAAACACAATATATCAAAATATATCTGATTAACGGAAGTAGGCTATTTTCTGTGAATGTGCAAGACTTCTGATACATTATAACTAGAAAGTGCAGTAAACGAAACAACTAATTACGCAACAAATCAGTGTGTTTATAATTACAACAATACATTAAATATAGGCTAATATATTAAATAGGCAATATAATAAAATAGATCAAACAAAATAAGCCTTTCCTGGCTAAGGTTTAAATAATGTACATTGTTTAGGCTGAAAATGATTACCTCAAAGCTCAGATCTCTTGTCTTCCTGCTCCTGGATTTCTCTGCCTATATCCAACAGACATATAATCTCTTAAACAGTAAGCCTTAGGCCTGTGTTATATTTGCATTAGGCCTATATAAGTCATATTTTTAAGACTCAGACTGCAGACAGGAGACTGAAAAAATAAAGTTGTCATAGCTGATTCTGATCTGCAAAATAAACTGCTTTACATTGCAATCATAAATTGGTTGTCCCATATATATGTATTTACATATTTGATCTTGCTAGACAAACATTTGCCTGAATCAGGAACTGAAATATGTTGTTTGAACTCTTCTCCCTGAACAAACAATGGACTAATCAATAATAATAATAAGGTTAGATAGATAAATAGATAGATAGATTCTTAATGTTGTAATATACAGTCATATTTATAAAATGATATGTAATATTTAGATATTATTTCTACTATTTAATAATTTCTAGTATTTATATTATATATAATAATATTTTCACTTACCCGTTCATCTTTTTCATATACCACCATATGCTGCGTTGTTGATACCTTATATCACCCAGCTGTGCATGTGTTTTATATGACAACCTTCTCTCATTCAGCCAATACAAATCTGTGGCTCTTTCCCACAACTGACTGCTGTGGAGTTTGAGGAACAGATCATTTTGCCCTTAATCTCTTAAATGCGTATACATGAGCTGAAATTAATGAAATCCCTCACCACATTGGTTTGTGAAAGTTCCCTCAAGCATTATAACATTACATTATGCTCCACATACAGATCATAGTATAATAATGCATTGCTTAAAATAACATGCATTAGTACCCACACTGAAAAAAATGATTAATTGAATTTACAATTTTTTTTAAAGGTAAATGGTTGCAATCAATTTATTTTAGCTACATTTAAATAAACAAAT